GAGAGAGAGAGAGAGAGAGAGAGAGAGAATGTGTGTGTGGTGACCAAGGAAGAACAAAAAAGGGAAAGTGTAGTAATGAGCGAGGGAGAATAAGAGGTAAAACATCAAGGAAGATGCGGCAAGGAGAGGGGGGGAGAAAGAGACGGGTAATGGTTGACAGATGGTGGTGACCACACATAAAGTAATGGGTGTATTTTATATGTATGGTAACTGCATGTATGATTTTGGTGGTCCTAAATAAATGTAAAATATCTACTGTATGTTGAGAAAATATTGGTAGGCTAATGGTAAAAATAAGGATTTGTACTTTTGTATTTCTATCAGTTATATTATCGTTACCGAGTATGGCAAATTATACTTCATATCGCATTATTATTTTTAGTATTATTAGTAGTAGTAGTAGTATTAGTATTATAGTGTTAGTATCATCATTACACAATCTAAACAAATCTTCGGGTACTGATTATGATATAAGTATTTTATATTATTAAAAGTGTTAATTTGAGCGTTTGGTCACAAGTATGTCAAGAGCGTCCTCCACCTAACGACACGTGAGACTTGAGCAGCAGTTCTGGATACCCGAACGTTTGTAGTTTCCTGTGACCGAACATCGCCACATTGCATCACCCAACTCACGTGATGGTGATGTTTAACTATTTCTTACTTACTTAACATAATGATATACATATTGTCCTGGGGTTAACAGCCCCATAATAATGTATTGTAATGTAATGGCCATCTCTCGAGGCATGTCGAGACGAAACGCCTTCCTAGCTTTTAAAATCAGAAAAAATTACGGATTTTTCCTTCAATGAATGGTTTAATATGCATCGTTACCACACGGAATATTTAATTTTTTCCAGCCATAACACTGTTGATGTCTTTGTAAACGTATAGGAGTTTTGTAAGGGCGCGAACACGGTCGATCCTGTGGGGTACGGGATGTTTGGGTCACACTCAGGATGGGATGGAGAAAGGAAACTCACAATGTGCTCTCTGTATACATGTTGTATTGGATGTACAATGCAGCTTGGTGCTGGGAAGTGGCAGCGTGGTTACAAGCGTGATGAAGAGAGAGCTAGTTGGTGAGGATGCTCAGAGGAGGACAGCTTGTGGGTCGCCAAGCTCGCCGGCGGAAGCGAGGACCGCCAGGCAGGCGGAGGAGGAGGAGGTGTTGCTGGCTGCGGCTGTAGCTAGAAGAGAGTTGGTTGGTGAGGATGCTCAGAGGAGGACAGCTTGTGGGTCGCCAAGCTCGCTGGCGGGAGCGAGGACCGCCAGGCAGGCGGAGGAGGTGTTGCTGGCTGCGGCTGTAGCTAGAAGAAGAGAGTTGGTTGGTGAGGGTGCTCAGAGGAGGACAGCTTGTGGGTCGCCAAGCTCGCCGGCGGAAGCGAGGACCGCCAGGCAGGCGGAGGAGGAGGAGGAGGAGGTGTTGCTGGCTGGTTGTTGTAGGTAGAAAGAGACAGGTTACCACGAGGTCAGGTCTTTTATAACGGAGGTAGGCGTGGGTAGATAGTTGACCCCCGCTCCGTTGGCGGCGCTGGTTGACCTAGACCACGAGGCATACACTGTGGAATTCGCGGGGTCGGCTACTCAGCGACAAGCGTTTGTAGGGGAGAAATCCACTACAATCCATCAGCCAGAACGTTCTTGCGTTGTCTACCGTTGCAGTTCTATAAATACTTACACCATGGATCACCTCATTAAGTCTGAGACAACTAGCAGTATAGACGTGGTCAGCTGTTGTCGCCAGTTATCTTCAACACACAACATGGAGAGGTAGAGTTAGTTAGCTTGTGGTGATGGTGAAGAAGATTTTAAAGGATAAAGATGAGAGGTTGTATAAACACACAGCACATGTAACGTGCACAACACAAGCTCTGGTGCTGGTTTTTATTTTTCATGTGTATGTTTCAATACGTGTGACGGACCATGTGCCAGTATTCATTTTCGCTGACACCGACTGTAGGAGCTGGACTGGCCATGTTACCCGCATGGACGACAGTAGACTGCCAAAGACTGCTACTTTACAGTCACCTAACGAATAGTAAACGTAACGCTGGCGGGCAACTGAAAAGGTATATGGATAGTCTAAGACAAACCTGAAAAAGTGCCAAGTTGACTCCCTCACCTGGGAGATTATTACTCCACACCTTAATGCTTGGAGGAGCACCACACAAGGTGTCAACATTTTCGAGTTCGACCGAGTGCATACCGAGGCAGACAAGTGCCAACGCCGGAAAGATGCTGCCGCTGGTCCTCCCGCACTAGATGTAGCCCTCTACACCTGCAACATCCGTGGACGATCCTGCCGGTCCCGTATCGGCCTCTCGAGCTCACCAACGAAGGTGACATCCTTCATAACTCATATCATTGTATCATAGCTTGATGATCTTCATGCTCGATTCCGAGTGACAGCAAAGTAGTAGTTGTAGTAGTGCTAGTAGAGTGTGTGTGTGTGTGTGTGTGTGTGTGTGTGTGTGTGTGTGTGTGTGTGTGTCGAGGCATGTCGATGACGAGACGCCTTCCTAGCTTTTACTAAATCAGAATAAATTATTACGGTAGTTAGTATTCATCATTACAGGGTAATGATACATATATACCTATGAGACTTGATTCTATATTTGTAGTTTCCAGAACCGTATCACAACTTGATGGTCTATTGTATAACCAATAGTATTGTAGTAATTCTGTGTCGTGCGAACATTGAATCGTTATCCTGATGTAAACGGTATCGATGTGGGGTTGTTTGGTCACACTCAGGATGGGATGGAGAAAGGAAACTCACAATGTGCTCTCTGTATACATGTTGTATTGGATGTACAATGCAGCTTGGTGCTGGGAAGTGGCAGCGTGGTTACAAGCGTGATGAAGAGAGAGCTGGTTGGTGAGGGTGCTCAGAGGAGGACAGCTTGTGGGTCGCCAAGCTCGCCGGCGGGAGCGAGGGCCGCCAGGCAGGCGGAGGAGGAGGGGGTGTTACTGGCTGGTTGGTGTAGGTAGAAAGAGACAGGTTACCACGAGGTCAGGTCTTTTATAGCGGAGGTAGGCGTGGGTAGATAGTTGACACCCGCTCCGTTGGCGGCGCTGGTTGACCTAGACCACGAGGCATACACTGTGGAATTCGCGGGATCGGCTTCTCAGCGACAAACAGCGTTTGTAGGGGAGAAATCCACTACAATCCATCAGCCAGAACGTTCTTGCGTTGTCTACCGTTGCAGTTCTATAAATACTTACACCATGGATCACCTCATTAAGTCTGAGACAACTAGCAGTATAGACGTGGTCAGCTGTTGTCGCCAGTTATCTTCAACACACAACATGGAGAGGTAGAGTTAGTTAGCTTGTGGTGATGGTGAAGAAGATTTTAAAGGATAAAGATGAGAGGTTGTATAAACACACAGCACATGTAACGTGCACAACACAAGCTCTGGTGCTGGTTTTTATTTTTCATGTGTATGTTTCAATACGTGTGACGGACCATGTGCCAGTATTCATTTTCGCTGACACCGACTGTAGGAGCTGGACTGGCCATGTTACCCGCATGGACGACAGTAGACTGCCAAAGACTGCTACTTTACAGTCACCTAACGAATAGTAAACGTAACGCTGGCGGGCAACTGAAAAGGTATATGGATAGTCTAAGACAAACCTGAAAAAGTGCCAAGTTGACTCCCTCACCTGGGAGATTATTACTCCACACCTTAATGCTTGGAGGAGCACCACACAAGGTGTCAACATTTTCGAGTTCGACCGAGTGCATACCGAGGCAGACAAGTGCCAACGCCGGAAAGATGCTGCCGCTGGTCCTCCCGCACTAGATGTAGCCCTCTACACCTGCAACATCCGTGGACGATCCTGCCGGTCCCGTATCGGCCTCTCGAGCTCACCAACGAAGGTGACATCCTTCATAACTCATATCATTGTATCATAGCTTGATGATCTTCATGCTCGATTCCGAGTGACAGCAAAGTAGTAGTTGTAGTAGTGCTAGTAGAGTGTGTGTGTGTGTGTGTGTGTGTGTGTGTGTGTGTGTGTGTGTGTGTGTGTGTGTGTGTGTTATTTTTTGCCGCATAATGTGCACTAAACCAATATTAAATTGTTTTTAAATTCTAAAGTAAAGAACAAATATATACATACTGTATAATGTACAGAGTGAGTTATACGTTAACCAATGATGTGTAGAAACGTGGATTTTGTCTTTGGCGTTTATGTAAAGGTATTGTGATCAATGTTCGCTGATTAAAATTAGAGAAACTATCTGCTAATTCTTATTTTTGAAATTATACGTTTAAAGACACAAAACATATTTTATCTAGTACAAAGTCTCCTTTGACCAACATATTAAAAGTTGTCGTTCTTCTGTCAATATCTGTTGCAGTTGCATGTCGACAACAGGTAATCAGATTACCCCTTTCACCACCCAACATACAGTACAGGTATCTCAGTGCACAGCTTCCTCACATCAGGAACCAATGTGTTATTTCTTCATATTGCTATTAATGGACGAGTTGACGGTCGGAATTTTTTCGTAAAATTGCAGGTCGATGGGTAAAGAAAACGCTTAAATTCACTATGGTAATGATATTCTTAAATAAATTGGGCCAAAAAGTGTCAAGATTAAGGGTAAAGTTGCTAAAAAGTCACGTGACTGTCAAAAGCTCTGTTATTGGTTGTGACGTCACTTTATTTTGTGTCGAGTCCCGTATTCTCCTAGATAAAATAAAATGGCAGAATCTCAGAAAATATATCTACAATCAGCATAAACAATAACCATAACACGGTTTAGGGTACAGTACAGCTGGCTGGCTACTCGTCTACGTATCGTAAGGCATATTTTCTTTTCCAGTTTCTTTCTGAATTATTTTATTCCAGGCTAGCGTGTTTTATGTTAACATGTGTCGACCCAAATGAACATAGCACGTTGGTATATTATCCTAACATGTATTATAATCTTATGTATGAAGTCATCAAATATCTAATATATGATTATATCTTTTCCACAGCAAGAAAAATGCCATCATTCTCCGCACGCAGCTCTCCGTCCGTGTGCACGCAATTATTGGTGAGTATGGATGTGTTGCGTGAAGTAAGGGAGATGCTTTGTGTGTGTGTGTGAAGATACATTGTGTGGTGAGGAGGCCGCCTTATAGAATCCCTGTTTATTAATGTGATTTTCTCAATATTTATGAACTATTTGGTGATTTCGTATAACATGACAGGTCAGTAACTTGGTGTGGGAACTTGGACTGGCACAATTTAGTTCCGATCGTTTGGGACCTTTTATTTATTTATTTATTTATTTATTTATTTATTTATTTTACGAGGAATAGCCCACCCGGGCACAGGTCATCGACCCACAACGGGCCAGGGGGGGGGGTTCAGGTTTAAAACAACGGTAATTAGATATTTACAATAACATTGATATGAGGAGAAATATTGAATACTGGGGTGGAAATCACATTTATTTTTAATATTTACTAATACAAGTCAAACAGAATCTTAATAGTTCAGCCAATGGCCTCCCTCTTCTATCACCTGGAATCTTCTTGGGACCGAGGACACAAGGGTGGACAAGTCACATTCTATTCAAGAATTCCTTATCATTATTATTTTATTTAAATTAATAGGGTTTTTTTTTCAAGAACGGTAATGGCGGGAGAACCTCAAGTAAAGGCATAGATAACTAAGGGAAAGGTAAGGCTGTATAATACCTCCCTGTCATCCGCTCTCCTGGTTGGTTGTTTGGGCTTTAGGCCTATCAACTGCCAGGGTGTTGAGGATAGTTCTAAGACCACTTACACTCTCACTACGTATGTGACCCTTGACTTGCCACCCTTAGCTCTCCCACCCTCTTGTGACATGTCATGTGGAAAGGCCTTAAGGTCATGGGTATGGTAGTAGAAGGGGTGGAGGCTTACTTTTGACCGTGATTATACATTCCTACATATGGTACTTCCTTAAAAAATAGCTTAGATGCATGTTAATAAGATATTAACAATGCCCTAACTGAGAAGTCACCAGCTAGACATCAGTCACTCGTTCGAACGAATCTGACTGACTTGCACATAAAGCTGTCTCTTAATCACATTGTACAGTAATAGTTTTTATAGTTATGCAAATTTGTAAATAAATATTTGCATATCCTTTTTGATATTGTATTGATGAACTGATGTAAAAAAAAACACCCTGAAAATGAGTAATTTATTTAGGCTGAATAATTATAATTTCAATCATTATAATTGACACACAAGACTCTTCCTGACAATTGTTCTGAATTTCCCCAAGGGGGGGGGGGTCTTCCTGAAGAGGGGGCTGTAGCCCTTCTAGACCCCTCCTGGCACCACACCTGATATTTTAACTATATGCTGTACACACAGACTATTTCATATTAAATTAGGACCGACATACAGTACATGCCTTTTTCCAATAGAGGTCTCTTGACCAGAACTGAAGAATTCATGTTCCATCAAAAACTGTAGTTGCTCAGCAAACTGATTCTCTTTTCTCGTGCATCGATAACTGATACAGATTGGCAGAGGGACGACCTCTGACTGGCAGATTTATGACCCAGATTGTGCGGAGAGAATTTTGAGTGAGCGTACATTTTATTTTAGTTCAGTTAGTATGAAGTAAAGGTAAGATACAGTATATACTAATTGGCTAAAATTTATAATTAATAATCTTAATGAAAATCTCTTGGCACTGGTATTCATAAATGCAACATGATAATAATTAGTTTATAAGCACGGCCAAGTATAGTTTGCGAAATAAGAATAGTTTTGAAGATCATAGAATTTGTTAATTAATGAGTATTAATTCTTAGGACTTGTTTTACGTTTATAAGTTTTTCCTGTGTGCTTCACAACGTCTAGTTCAATCAGTTAGTCTGAGCCGTCATTTTCTAATTTATACTGGTGTACTTGCCAATGTATCTACAGTAGAATTGGGAGCCAATTTAGGGGTGAGGAAAAACACCAGAATTTTTCATTTCTTAACTTGTCTTATATTCTGTCACCGTCCACCCAATGGCATGTGCTTACTGTATACAACATTAAACTGTTAATAAAATTACAGTAAAATGGTAAATTGAAATTTCTAGAAGGCTGTATTAAACCAAGAGTCACTTCTCTATCTGTAATTTTTATAGTGTATTTTTAAGTTTCTGTTGCCTTCCCTTATCAATCTTGTGCATCAGAATTACTCCAAACCATTTAATTCCCTTGACAGAGAAACTACTCAACTCAGAGGGCCGTGAGCTGCGGCGGGCCTTGTTCTCTCTCAAGCAGATATTCCAGGATGACAAGGACCTGGTCCATGCCTTCGTCCAGAATGATGGCCTCACCTGCCTCATCAAAGTGGGCTCCTCGGCTGACCAAAACTACCAGAATTACATTCTTAGAGGTTAGGTTTTTTCCATATATCACCCTAATTGATTGTTTAAATGAGAAAGTTGTGTCTAGTTGCTTTAGAAATGACCAAAATAGAATGAATTTATCATTACTTCAAGTGTTAGTGATATATATATATATATATATATACAGTATATATATATATATATATATATATATATATATATATATATATATATATATATATATATATATATATATATATATATATATATATATATATATATATATATATATAAATAATCAATGACCTCACCAGCCAGGATTCGAACCCTCGACCTACTGAGTGGGACTAGGGAACACTACCGACTAACCCACAAGGACACTAAAAGCAGTCCTCGACTCTGTTATATTTCACACAAAGCCTGTTCATCAAGCTGATGGCGCCGTGAACCTCATTGGGAACTGCCCGTCCCTCGTATGTGGTGTCAGTAGCATTTTACCGAATCCAGCTGGTATGAAACACGAGGTACATATATATACTTCATTTTTAGTCCATATAACACGCGGACTTTGAACATATAATCAACGACCTCACCAGCCAGGATTTGTTAGCCGGAATCCCTTAAACCCGGAACTCTCCAATAGCCGGAATTGAAATTTTCTTAGAAAATCGTTCCCAAAGCCGTAATTTTCCGTAAAATTCCAGCTTTGGGAACGATTTTCTGAGGGGCACATTTTTTGGAAAATTCCAAGAAAATTTTTTCGATACCAGGAAAATTCTGGGAAATTCCGGGGTTGGGGCATTTTTGTTCAATCCAGAATGCGACCTCTAGTTTTATACCTAGGTATGTAAATGCTTAGCATTAACTCGCCAGGCCAACATACAGGAAATTAAAACTTCTAATAGTTACTTAAATACGAAATATTAGGAGGACACGTTGCTACCTGGCATTTAATTGCAATTCTCAAAACCCCCTCCCGCATCCTGCATCACACACATTGCTACCATTATTTCCTTGCCTGGTGAATCAGTTGTAAATGCACACAAGGAAAGCTCCGCTAATTTGTGTTGTAATAGCTGAAATATTAAGTGCCATGGGGGAGTTTTTTCCGGGTTTGAGAGATGAAAATCAGGTGCATTTTCTGAAAATTGTGAGAAAATTTTTCCGTTATCCGTAAAATTCCAGGGCTGAGGGATATTTTTACGGGTTCGAGAGAGTCGTCTCGTTGCTCGGAAATGTCTCATTCCCGGGAGTACTCTGCACCAATTGTTCCTGCTAACGGAGATATCACTGTACTATTAGTTTTTGTCCCTTAAATATCATCTCTGTAAAACAAACTTTTTTGGGCTTATATTGCTCATCTAAAAATTTTTAATGCATTTAGGCCAGGTGAGGTTTTATTCCTAGTTCCTAGTCGTCAGTTTCCAGGTTCATATTTAATCATGGTGCTAAATAAACTGACCTCAACATGTCACTTAAGACAGACTGGTACTGGTACTTTTGTCACTTAGCTATGACTTTGCACAAGAAAATTGGCTACATCACTCACCTAACCATGGTGTTGAAAATGAAATTACTGTACAGTACTGAGTACTTTTCTGTGGCAACACTCATCTGTGGTTTGAGAGTTAACTGTTAAGTGCGGTTATAGTGTTGTAAGGCAATAGGTTTTATTCAATCAGTATTGGTAGTTAACTCAAAGTTATTTTAGTAAGTTCTTTTTTATCTTCTTGTGTTATATAAAAAGTTTAATGCATAATTTTCCAAGTCCATATCGTTTTCACACACACACACACACACACACACACACACACACACACACACACACACACACACACACACACACACACACACACACACACACACACACACACACACACACACACACACACACACACACACACACACACACACACACACACACACACACACACACACACACAGACACACACACACACACACACACACACACCCCATTACCTAAGTGTTATTATTTTTCTGTGTCTTTCTCCAGCCCTTGGACAGGTGATGCTGTATGTTGATGGCATGAATGGTGTGATGGAACACCAAGAGACCATTCAGTGGCTTTACTCGCTCATATCTTCAAAGTATCGTCTTGTTGTCAAGACTGCTCTCAAACTTCTCCTTGTGTTCGTTGAGTACACAGAGTCCAATGCACTCATTCTAGTTAATGCCATTGAAACCATAGATTCATCAAGAGGTGAGTGGGGAAGATATTCGTCCTCTTATACTGTAGCAAGCTTCACATTTTAGGTGTTCAATACAGTAATAACTAATTAAACCACCATGAAGACTTAATGCAGATGGTAGTCTTGGATACTCTTGGATGCAGGAAGTATTTTATACATAAAGTCCATACAAATTCTGTAACTTCATAAACAGTACAGTATGTGTGTGGGCTTATGGAGGCACAGTGTTATGTAATTTTAAACAATTACTGTACTGTATCCAGCTTTTTTGGTGTGTGTGTATTGGAGGCATTGTATATGGAATCTCTTACTGTATATAATTATGATTTTGGTGATAAACTATTGTACAGTTGCCCACAGGTATTGTATAGTGTTCCACCCCTCAGTGGCCTTTCTGAACATGTGGCAATGCTGAAATCACTTTACAAATGAATTAATAACTCTACAGTATATGTATAAGTTTTATGGCAAGAAATTCTGTCTTATGATGCATTATTGATAACTTAAGAGTTAAACAGCAAGCTATGAAAACTTACCATATGCAGTATGACTTTTCAGTAGTTTACTTAGTTCTTTTTCAAACTCTTCTTAAACAAATATTTGCTTCACTAAATACTTTTAATATTGGGAACAGGAGATCTGCCGTGGACAACCATCATGCGGCTCTTAGAAGGTCGGGATAGTCTAGACATGGAGCTTCTCACATATGCCATGACACTAGTCAACAAGACACTCAATGGCATCCCTGACCAGGACACTTATTATGACCAAACTGACTGCCTTGAAGAACAGGGTATAGAAACCCTAATTGCCAAGTGAGTTTTATATGAAATGTCTTCCACTGGAATATCAAGTTAATGACTGCAGTTAAAGTAGAAAATTTATTGTATATTTCATTTGAATGAAAACCTTTAGCTAAATTTTATTTTAAAATTAATCTAAGTTATCATCATATTTTATTGATGCTTATTATTGGTTGAACTTTCTTCTTGATGCAGGTACATGCACCGCCCAGACAGTGATTTAGATTTGCTTCAACAATTCACTATCTATGAAGCAGTTCTCACCTATGAAGATGGTGATGATATATGCCGGACATGCACCATTGACCCATCCATCAGGTGCAGCTCTCTTCAAGCTATGTTTGTCACTTTTAATGGCCACATTGTTTGTATTAAGTCACCTGGGATATTTCTAAGTGACTATACTGTACTGTATATGCAACAGGTATTTTGTTTCAGCATGATTTTACTTTGATCCCACTGTAATTAGAAGTATAGTCCTGTATTGCTGTAATAATGGGGGATTTTCCTTTCTTTCTTAAATTCTCTTTCAACTCCCTACTACTGTTTCAAGACTGCTGTATCAGGTATTTCCTTTTGCCTTTTCCTGTTTTTTTCCATCATACTTGGTCCTCCTGTAAACCAGTGGTCCCTCCATTAACGAGCGGTTCAATTTACGAGATTTTGGTTAACGAATTAGCTCCCATAAGGATTTTCAGTTCTATTAACGACAGCCTAACGAGAAACACGCTTTGGTGCGCGCATCAACTGATTAGCTGATCGGCTAGTCCGCCAATACAGTAATCGGTTTTATGTTACATTCGTTTCCAGTGGAGTAAATATCAAGAAAATTGTGCTCTTGAATATTTTTGCATTTTTTAATTAAAATTATTGGTCATTCTGAAATTTAGTTAACATACTGATAATATATACAGTACAGGAAACAGTTTTTGCGTGCCCATCAGCTGATCGAATCACCCACCAACGCTTCTCAGTTTAACTTTGTTTTCAGTGGAGTGAACATCGAGTTTGTTGGTCTCTTGAATATTGATAATATACAGTGCAGAAAATAAGAAATACAAAGAAAGCATTAGAACCAATGCACTCCGTAAAGAATATGGCGTGTCATTATCAACTGTCTCTACAATTAGCTGTTTGCTATGTAAACAAAGCTGGCGGAAATATGACATACACACCTCAAAATAAGTTAAAATACAGTATTTTATTGTTTTTTATTTATTTTGTACAGTATGCTGTACAGTAACCGGTATACAGTACTTTGTATGTACTTTTTCTGTGAGTTGGAACCAATTACCCAATACTATAAGAACATATGAATAGAGGAAACTGCAGCGGGCCTATTGGCCCATACTGGGCAGTCCCATTTACACCCAACCCCTTTTGCTCATATATCCATCCAACCTATGTTTGAAGCTATCCAGCGTATTCAAGTTAATGATGATATTTGATAAGTTGTTCCACTCGTCCACTACTCTATTTCCAAACCAATGTTTACCCATTTCGCGCTTAAATCTAAATTTGTCTAATTTAAAACCATTGTTACGAGTTTGCTCTTGGTTGGATAGTTTGAGTACCTTGGTAATGTCCCCTTTGTTCAGCCCTGACTTCCATTCATACACCTCTATCATATCGCCCCTCACTCTACGTCTCTCGAGGGGGTGCAAATTAAGATGCTTTAACCTGTCTCTGTATTCAAGGTTCCTAATGCCTGGGATTAGCCTTGTAATTCTCCTCTGAATTCTTTCCAAGGATTCTATATCCATCTGTAATACGGAGACCAGAATTGAACTGCGTAATCCAAGTGAGGTCTCACAAGCTTACAATATAGTTTTAGGATGACCTCGCTAGTCTTGTAACTAACACTCCTTTGTATGAACCCAAGTACTTTATTAGCCTTGTTTTGAGCAAATACACATTGTTTACCTAGCTTAAGATTCCTACTTATCATTACTCCTAAATCTTTCTCACAGTCGATTTCTCAATAACATAGTTGTTCATCTGGTATCAGGTTTCCCGGTTTACATCTCCTATACTGAGTACTTTACATTTGTCCACAGCTACTGCTGTGACCTTTCCTCTAGTGAGGTCAGAACACCCATTGAAATAATAGATTCAGTTAATGAAATTTTCAGTTAATGACTCACTCTGTGGAACCAATTGTGCTCATTAATCGAGGGACCACTGTACAGTGTATGTCACCCATGGAAACATAGTCATGGGAGAAATGGATAAACTACTCTCCAACTGAAGGCTCTGCTCTGTGGACATATTCATTTATCATCACAGCTTGGTGGATGGTTACACTATTTTGTGCTCTACAGTACAGTATTCGTTACAGCTGTTTCCACTTTGTTTGTTATTGCCTCATGCTGTTATTTCAGTAATCAACCCCTATTTACTCCCTTTTTATTTCTCATCAGAAACAAGGGGTGACAGTTTTACTCTTGAAACAGTGAGGTCACTCAAGAAACTTTTGATTAATGTTGCAGCCCCCTCAGAGAAGATCCATGTGACGCTTCAAAAAAGATAGTCCTGGACCACAGACCAGACACCCAAAGATAGTCCTGGACCACAGACCAGACACCCAAAGATAGTCCTGGACCACAGACCAGACATCCAAAGATAGTCGTGCACCACAGACCAGACACCCAAAGATAGTCCTGGACCACAGACCAGACACCCAAAGATAGTCCTGGACCACAGACCAGACACCCAAAGATAGTCCTGCACCACAGACCAGACACCCAAAGATAGTCCTGGACCACAGACCAGACACCCAAAAGATAGGACCACAGACCAGACACCCAAAGATAGTCTGGACCACAGACCAGACACCCAAAGATAGTCCTGGACCACAGACCAGACACCCACAGTCCTGGACCACAGACCAGACACCCAAAGATAGTCATGGACCACAGACCAGATAGTCATGTCACCACAGACCAGACACCCAAAGATAGTCCTGGACCACAGACCAGACACCCAAAGATAGTCGTGCACCACAGATCAGACACCCACAGATAGTCCTGGACCACAGACCAGACACCCAAAGATAGTCCTGGACCACAGACCAGACACCCAAAGATAGTCCTGCACCACAGACCAGACACCCAAAGATAGTCCTGGACCACAGACCAGACACCCAAAGATAGTCCTGGACCACAGACCAGACACCCAAAGATAGTCCTGGACCACAGACCAGACACCCAACGATAGTCCTGGACCACAGATAGTCAATCACACCACAGACCAGACACCCAAAGATAGTCCTGGACCACAGACCAGACACCCAAAGATAGTCCTGCACCACAGACCAGACACCCAAAGATAGTCCTGGACCACAGACCAGACACCCAAAGATAGTCCTGGACCACAGGACACCCAAAGATAGTCCTAGTCACCACAGACCAGACACCCATCATGGTAGTCAATGTACCACAGACCAGACACCCAAAGATAATTAGTCCCTTCATGGACCACAGTAGTCACTGTAGACCAAATGGATAATAGTCCCTTGACACAGTGTCAGTAGTATTCATTACCACCAGACTGTAGTCACTGGTTCCTGGACCACAGACCAGACACCCAAAGATAGTCCTGGACCAGACACCCAAAGATAGTCCTGGACCACAGACCAGACACCCAAAGATAGTCCTGCACCACAGACCAGACACCCAAAGATAGTCCTGGACCACAGACCAGACACCCAAAGATAGTCCTGGACCACAGACCAGACACCCAAAGATAGTCCTGGACCACAGACCAGACACCCATCTGGTTAATGTAAAGGTATTCGCAAGGATAGACAGAGTTCATTACACTGTGAAAATGGATAATTCCCTTGACACAGTGTCAGTATAATCAATACCACCAACTGTTCACTGGTTCAACTGCCAATTGAATTATTAGAGTAATAGAAACAACTCTTACAACCTGAAGGAAACATAGTCTATTATTTGTTTGATATTAATAATATAGGAATTGTGTGGTATAGATGTAATACTGTACTCTCCCAAGTGCTAAATTTTATAGGTGAAATGCATATACTGTAGTTCTCAGTATGTAAACAGAGCCTTTAGGTCAATGTGACTTAAAATTGGGTGACACCTAAACCTAATTCTTGGTCATGGAAATTAAGCATCGCCAAAAATGAGCAGTGATTTGTGGTACTTTTTAAGGACAAGTTTTGCTACAGTAGGATTGCATTATACGAGTTGTTTTATAAGTATCAGTACTCAGTATTTAGGGTTCACTTGAGTTGTAAAGCCTTTTATTTCGTGGCCATTATACTTGAATTTCCTTGGTCCAACATAAAATTATAAAACTATGTGAGAAATTCTCATAGATTAGGATTGATATGGTAGTAATATAGTAATGTGTGGTTTTCCTTTGTGCTATTTTTTGTCACTTCACTCTTCAAACTACAGTATATTTTTGTTTATTTTAACTTTCTGTATTCTTTATCTCAATTATTTTAAATGTTTACATCAAATCTTACTTTACCTTTGAAATCTCAACATATTTTTTAAAGTATAGTTTCTCAAGTCAAACTGATGTAGCTCAGTAGTACTCATTTATGGGGAGAATGGATTGGGATGGGAGGAAAGATAAATAATTGACGACTTTCACAGAGGGAAAGAGTGAGACAGTGTTGGCTCTGCTGAGGGAGAGAGAGAGAGAGAGAGAGGTGTAGTCAGGCAATGACTGCAGGAAGGATTGGCTGGGAGGGTATTAAGGTAGGATGGAGAGAGACATATTAAAGTAATCTCCATATTAGTAATACACCATCACTGAAATACTGGTCATTCTGTCAACGCAGCTCGGATATATATGTATTACTGAGTAGAAAATAGATGGATTAAAACACAGCTATTAGACGACAGCTACATTAATTACTGTATAGCAAATGAACACACCGAACATAATATAGACATGAACCAAGACTTAGAGTAAAGATGCTCAATTGCAGAGCCAATACAGCCACCTGCCTTGGCTCTAGCTGAGTGTCCAAATTAGTGTAACAATCTTCCAGGTCCTTCCCATCTGAGTCCAAATCCTGACCATAACTTTACTACAGTATATCTTCTGTTTTATTTTAAATCAATAGGGCGTGTTTTAAGGCTCATCCTACTACAACCACATGGGCTAGTGTTGAAATGCATCTCCAATGATTGGCTAATGGATACTTCTGGTGCCATGGCACATCTATCCATGTGTACCAGTCAGGGTGGTTCAGGGCCATCTGGTAGAAACACAGAAACTTTAGGCTATGACCCCTTTCCAGTAGGGAGTTGTGTGACTCGCATAAACACACTCACATGGCTAAGTTACTGATCCTTCACTGTTAAATATATACCCATGAAGTGTTTTGAGCCAATCATTGCCTTGTTCACAGACAAGTACCCCGCATATGCTCTGCTGACCGAGATTCCATTGACCGTCGCAAGTCTCGCAGACACCACCAGTCACCTTCACCTTCCAAAATGAAAAAGGTACAGTACAGTATTTATTTTCATAATTTACATTTGTGTCAGTAAGTAGAGTAGAGTTAGCTTTACTGGGTATTGCTGGTGTTGATATGTTTGTAAATGAAACATAAATAAGTTTATTTATAGGTTACAATATACTGTACTGTACAGTATATATGAAACTAATACATGAATAATATTATCACTAACTATGTATTCATGTTGATGTTTATCAGTGATATACAGTACAGTTATCTATGATATTAGACATTTTATATCTCATTTAAATATTTTTGTTGAAACACTGTTTAGCCACACCAAGAGGAAGAGTCAACGCATCAGGAAAACTCAGAGTCTGTATGTATATTTAGTTAGCTGTATGTGATCATACACCTAAGTTTAACTTTCTTAAATACAGTGATATCTCCGTTAGCCGGAACAATTGGTGCAGAAGACTTTCGGGAATTAGAGATTTCCGGGTAACGGAGATATTACTAAAAATAGGCCAATTTTTTAAAAATCTATGTAGAAGCTGTTCCTGACTGTCTTTCATGCATTATGACTTACTTCATTATTTCTTTTGAGGTGTTCTGCTTCCTGTATTGTCTCTTCAGATATTTAGAGTATCACCCACTTTTCTGATTGCTGTACTGTACAATGTTATTACTATATACTGTACTGTATTCCTTGTAAAGGACTGAGCAGTATTGTATTTTATGGAGTATTTCAGCAGCTTACAGTACAGTATTTGAGAATATTTTACTTGTACTGCAGGTACAAAGCTGACATACCTGTACATGAGTGAGAACTTACAGTACTTGTTATGTTTCCCTGTGACAGGGTAAAAAATTGGGTGTCAACCTGGAGGATGGTGGTGGCAGACAGTCCAGCAGTGATGAAGATCACGTCACTGTCATTAATATCAATGGCGAGTCGTTTGGTATTCCACAGGATGACTTGTCTGGGGTCAAACGTATGTAATGTTACTTTTTATATTTTTCTGTTGATAACTTTTAATTTTATGTGGTAGATGGATTCTTCTATTCATTTAACAGTAGACTTCACCAGTTATGCACCACATTGTAATATTTAAATTCTGATTTTTTTTTTTAATTGTGTTCTTTTTCTTTTAATTTCAACAAAATAAATTCTTCAAATACCCAGATGCTGATGCAGGTGTCACACCAGCACTTCGTAGGCGACGTGAACGTGCAGAACGCCACAGAACATTCATTAATGAACAAGAAATTATCAATGAGACTCGCCGAAGTTCACAGTCATCAGAGTGAGCCTTCCCCAAGTTTTGTTTAGAACTGTTCTCTGGAAAACTGTCTGAAGACATGTAACATGTTCATGATACCATTAGGAGTTAGGATGTTAACAAGTATTGTAGTTATGTGAAAGATAATTCAATACAAATAAAAAACTCTTTACAAATATATTGAGTAGTAGTCGAGTACAGTCTTTTATCCTCGTTTTTTCCTCAGCAACAATGTGGAGGATGAAAATCGAAAAAACAGTGAAATGTCAGGACTAAACAAGCAGGCATCATGGATGATGGACATGATGTATGGGAAGCGAGAGGATGATGGAACAAGTCGTAGGGAGTCTCTGAGTAACATTCAAGATATTGCCTCAAGAATATCCTGTCTTCAAGACAAAGAAAATGTAGATAATAATATGCGTTTGCCCATTGAGATTAATGCTGAGACATCGGTTAGGGTTAGTAATTACTGTATATGACTGTTCAAGAAATATGATTCAGTGTGTACAAGTTTTATTTTATCATATTGGTTCACTATTAGTACACACACATAAGAAATTAAATTTATAACTCCTCTGTATCACACTGGAATATTTTCTATTTAAAGAGGATAAATGACATTCTTGATTGAAGCATTTTGTTCATGTAGTTTTAAGTATGTTAGTATTGTTCTTTATTTTATAAACTCGAATGTATTTTTCTACTTTATAACTCCTACTTCTTTCAGGAACTACAAGATAAGATGATCAATTCCAGTACTGGTCAAGTAGTAGCGGATGGTGAGAAGCAGGGACGGAAAGGTGATATTAGTGACCGTATTAATAAAATCAAGGATGGTTTATCCAAAACACATTCCAAGGGTGATATAAAGGATGGTCTTATTCAGGTACCAGAGCCACCAAAGAAGTCAGAGAATGATATCCAGTGGGAACTGCTGATAAAACACCTGAACCGACCCCTTGTCCTCTGTGACCTAGATTTCACGGATCTTACAGCTGGCGATGACACTGTCATGCCAGAAACTAAGAAAACTGGTGTACCGCCACCACCACCACCACCTATGGGGGCTCCTCCACCACCACCTCCACCATCAGGAGTTCCACCTGCCCCTGGGATGCCACCAGCTCCTCCAGCTCCACCTGCACCACCACCCTCAGCAGATGCTTCTCAGAATGGTTTGGATCCTCAGGATTCGTCTCACATCAAGGCACAGAAGACCAAGAAAACTATTAAGTTGTTTTGGAAAGAGGTTGGTCAAATGTTTGAAGAAACTAATAGCTATGAAATGTAACTTAAGATTATTATTTTCTAGAAGTTTATTTTCTGATTTCTTACAGCCATACACAAATGAACAGTAACTGTAGTGAAATTGTTTTATTAATGTTAAAGTAAATTTCTTGTTCTATGCTTATCTAAATTTTAATTTTTTGAAATAAATTACTATCATACCTCTTAGAACGGATGAGATACATTCTTCAGGCTGGTCTACTAAGTGAAATGCTGTACCTGTTAAAAGAGGACATTATAACATGGTGCTTATGAAGATGGGTTCTTGCTAATAGTGAAATTAATCAAAATGATAAATAGATCCCATTAAATACTACACCACTATTTTCTTACATGACTAAAATGTGCCAAAATAGGTCTTAAACATTATAAAAAAGTTGCAGATGCTTCGAAACACGTATACGTAAGTTACCACCACTGTCTCCATACAAAAAATAAACATTTAGCAGCAACGATAATAAAACAACAAAAATGGCAGTCACAAGGTGACTCCTTAATAATAAATGAAACTAGATTTATTAACACTCACCAGTTAATTTTTTTGGAGCTTGCTGTGTCGTTTACCACCGCTGTGTCGCTCCTACTGTGCACCTACTCCTCCTGACGCTCACTTACCTCATCCCTTTATATCACTTTCATTTTTGAGTCCAAACTAATGACATTCCTGGGCACCTTGGCTGGTTTATCAACACACTCACTTGCAGGCCTTTCGCCGAACATAATGGGCATAAAATGTTCATCAAGCACAACAGACACGAATCTTAGCAGGCTACTGTACTGTAAATATTTTGAGATGATTGCTGATTGGCTTAGAGCAGTGGTCCCCAACCTCTTGTAGTTTCTGGGCTACATTTGCCATTATAAATATACCAGTGGAGTGTGCCAAAACTTTGTACTGTATCGACATTAAAGAAAAAAAAGTCATATACAGTTATTTGCAGTTTTATACATGTTTATCCATTACCAGTTACATACTTTTTATATTTACTCTTGGATCATATACAGTATGTGTGTGTGTGTAAATAATATAGCATTTGCCTTTATTGAGAAGGCTGGCTCTCTCTCTAGGGCCAGTCTTGGGTAAATACACACAGCCTGTACACAACAGACTCAGGGCAAATGTGCACTTCCCCCCCCCCCCATCCCCTCTCTCTAACTATATATTTGTTTGAAGTTATTACATACTTTCATTATTTTCACTCTAACAGAGAATCCCAAATATTTCATAATTTTCTAATAAACCCTTGAGGGCTCCATGATATGGTTTCACCGGTGCCATGGCGCGTGCAGGTTGGAGACCACTGGCTTAAAGGACGTAAACAACAAAGATGTCAGAGGCCTTTTTCATTGGTTATTTTTCACTAATGTTTGATTTATTTTTTCTTGAATGAAATTATAATTACTATTATGGTATACAGGATTTATTAAATGAATATATTTTTTTCATTTATGTTAAGTGGAAATCCGTTGGTCAAAGCTCCATCTAAAGAGGTATGATAGTACTGTACTGTGTTAATGGTAAGTGTTGACAGATATGTGTGATGTGTGCATTGTGACAAGTGAGAACAACAAGTCTGTAAGCAATCTTCTTTAATGTCTAGTACAGGAAACTTAGCTAATGGTGGTGTTTATGGTGAAATTATTAATTTGTATCTGTATGGAATTTATATAGATATTGAACCATTGAGTTTTGGAATTTCATAATTTTAAATTCTTTAAATTTGCACAGGTTCGGGAGGACCCACGGATGCATGACACCACCATCTGGGATAAGATTGAGCATATTCTTGTTGATACTCAGAAACTTGAGCATCTGTTTGAATCCAGAGCAAAGGATATCATTGCCAAGGTAAAACATGAATGTTTTTTTATTTTTTTTTATTTTTTTACACGGGGATTAGCCCACCCGGGCACAGGTCACTGACCCACATCACGGCCTTGGGGGGGGGGGGGATGCTATAATAATATTAATAATAATATTACTAATTCATAGTAAATAAAAATTTTAATAAAAATAAACAAATTAAATAATAAAATAATAATGATAATAATAACAATAACAACACTGTAATAATAATAATAATAATAATAATAATAATAATAATAATAGAGAACCATAAAGAAATACAAAAATGAAAAAAAAATCAAGAGTGTTATCAAAGTAAGAGAAACAATTGAAACCCTACAATTGTGTTATACACTCCTCCATACAAATGTTTGTGGACAATGTCAAGATATTCAGGGAAATTAAGACACAAATGGACCGTGAAGAGCTACAGAAAGAACTCTGTCAGCTTCAGAAGTGAGCAAAGGAATGGCTGTTAATATTCAATGTCAGTAAATGCACCAAGGTTACACCAACAGTAAGGAGGTGTATCACATGTCCCAACAGGACAAAGAACAGCACTAATGGAGACCAGATATGAGAAGGACCTGAGTGTGTATGTCGACAATGAGCGAAGTTCTTACACCATTGTGAGAAGGTGAATCAAGCAGCTAAGCTCATGGGTCTTACAAGAAGAGCATTCAGATACCTTGATGGCCCGTCCCTTGTAACACTTCAAAAGTGAGTTGATTGAAATTGTTCAAAGGAGGGCCACCAGTCTGATGCCTGCACTACGGCGCCTCAGTTACCCAGAGAGATTAGAACGCTTGCATTTGCTAAGTTTATACTGTACAGTAGGCAGGCAAGGGGTCACTTAATAGAAGTTTATAAACACCTCAGAGGACATTACTGTACTCAGTTGCGTGTTCCTACCTGGAGCTGGCTGCTCCACTAGAGGTCACAACTTAAAGTTGAAGAAGCCACAAGTTCAGAAAGTTGTCAGGACAAACTTTTTCAGAGTGAGAGTTGTGAACTCTTGGAACAATCTGCCAGAGAGCATTGTGACAGCACTGAGTGTGAGCTCATTCAAGACCAGATTTGACCAACAGGTACAGATACATTCTGGAACCAGTAGTTGCCATCAGTGCAACAGAGACATAACTGACCACCCAAGTGGTATAATAAGATCACCAGGATCAGACCTTAATATTATACAGAGAAAGTTATTGTTGAATATTAGATAAGTTTATCAAGACAATTGCTGTGTATTGGGTGACTGTCTAGCCATTGCTTGCTACATTGACCACACTTACTTACCGGTAATTTTTGCTGACACATAGACCTCAAACTATATACTGACACCATTTCTGTAGCCACTGAGGCTACTGTATCATAGATGTTTCTCAGACTTTGTTAAGTAATCAACTACAGTAGTTAGTTAGTTAATCCTAACCCTTATTTATACACACCACACTTTGTTATTATTCTTCACTTATTGAGTTGCTTGTTTTAAAGCTGCATTCCAGTTTGGAACTGCATATGCAATACTTCTTTTAAGTTGCATGAAAGTTGTGCAGTTAACATGTTATTTATGCACACTTATTGTCTTACCCTCTCATTCAAACTCATTGGAAATACCTGTACCTGTACAGTATAATAAGTTCCACACTTGATGGAAATACAGTAGTTATTTAGAGTGACACTCTCCCGTATTGCTTACTTTTGTTTCTTCGGTATTGTACTGTACATTATATATGTCAGGTCCTGTTAGCATTTGGGTTATATGCATTAATATTCATGTGAGAGAGACTTGAAATAATGATGAATGATGTTTAGACTACTGTATCATTCTTGATATTTTATAGTTAGTTCTCGTCAGCTTCTTATATAGCAAAATCCAAACACAGTTATTATACAGTACTGTACGTCACCAGTACATGGCAGGGCTGTACTAGACATCTGTTGAATCATTTGTCTCATAATTTGTCTGCTCTATAATTAATAAACTACTTTTGATTTATTTATTAGACTCTATATGCAAACAAAAACCAAATTCATTCTTCAAAGGTCAAGATCACAAATAGAGATCCAGGACCAAATGGATATTTTTTGGTGTGTGTGTGTGTGTGTGTGTGTGTGTTCATTCTCTAACTTTTATGCTATTGACAATACAAACTAATATGATGAAGCTTTATACAAATATGTATCATCGCCAGACAATGTGTATTAAGAAAGAACAGGACCCATTTCTCAGTGGTTAGTCATAAATACAATCCAGGACATACTAGGTCAAAGTGCTTATGGGGTGGGGGGGCATCCATATCCAGTACACACATTATGGTTTTTATGTAGCTTTTAATCCTGACATAGACAGATTCATCCAGCATGTTACTGAAGATGAAAAGAATCGAATCATACTGCATAGTACTACACACTACTGTATGTATTATTGATTGAAAACTACATAAGTAAAGCAAGTACTGGGTGATAGGAGTGAGTGGTTACAGCTGGTCTTGTGATAACTTACACTTGTTGAGATATTGAGACTGCATACACTTACCTCCACAATAAGCACTGTACAGCACCTCAGACTGTAATGGCTGGATGAATTTGGCTAATTATGTAGTTTAGAGTTAAATCTCTTCAGGTATGTGCATGTAATTTTGATAGCTAAATAAAATAATCTCAAATTGATTATCACATAATAGACTGAACTGAACTGTACTGTACTGTACTGTACTGTACTGTACTGTACTGTACTGTACTGTACTGTACTGTACTGTACTGTACTGTACTGTACTGTACTGTACTGAACTGAACTGAACTGTACTGTACTGTACTGTACTGTACTGTACTGTACTGTACTGTACTGTACTGTACTGTACTGACCTGAACTGTACTGTACTATACTGAACTGTATTGTGACTGTACTGTACTGAACTGAACTGAACTGAACTGTACTGTACTGTACTGTACTGAACTGTACTGTACTGTACTGTACTGTACTGTACTGTACTGTACTATCTCCATTAGCCAGAATATATCAAATCTGGAACTCTCCAATAGCTGGAATTGAAATTTTCTTGGGAAGTCGTACCCAAAGCCGTAATCTTTTTGGAAAATTCTGACTTTGGGAATGATTTTCCGTGGAGCACAATTTTTTTTTTAATTCTGAGACATTTTTCCCAGGACAGTTCCTGAAAAATTCTGGGGATGGGAGATATTTTTCTGGGTTCGAGAGATGATGTAGTGCACAATTTCTGGAACTTCAGAGAATATTTTTCCATTACCTGGAAATTCTGGGGATGAGGGATTTTTTCCAGCTTTGAGAGATAAAGTAATGCATCATTCTGGAACTTCAGAGAACATTTTTCCGTTACCCAGAAAATTCCGCGGAGGAGGGATTTTTTTCTAGCTTTGAGATATTCAACTCGTTACCCGGAACTCTTTCATTCCCAGAGGTGCTCTGCACCAGTTGTTCCGGCTAATGGAGACATCACTGTATTATTATTTATGAGACAATACTCTACCTGACTGACGACTTTACTGAAGCACATATTGCTGACTGAACGGTGTGCACAATGGGATCAGCACACTGAGAGGACTTATCCATCCTTGTTTGGAGTTTGTTATATAGTCAATATGCCATTGGTTATTGTGGTAAAGAACTTAATACAGTAGTAACATTGGGAGAATGTTAAACCATTAGATTTTCCACTATCACATATCCTTCATAGACTAACCCATCACTAGTGGCATAAGGCCTATAATAACTTTTAAGGTGCTGAAAGTTATTTAATATCTTACTCTCCAAAATACAAATACAAATGTGATTATCTTTTTACCTGCTACATCACAGTGTTATAGTACAGTACTGCAGTGCTTTTCAGCCTCCAGTGCTTGTATAAAACATTGCCTTTTTAACAGCTTTTTAAATCCTTAGCATTTTTGTATTGACTTCATATATAAATGCTATGTATTATTAAATGCTAATGCAATTTTGTCTGTTTCACTTTGCTATATAACCGTGCTGCTGCCGACCCTAGGAGGTAAGTTAGGCTTTATTCTAATACTGTATTATGCAGATGACTTTGTGTTTAAGTTTGCTTTATGCACCTATGTTTGATCTGATATTTAAGGTCACTAATGTTGTATACCAAGTTCAAGACTTTGCCATTGTAGCAATTATAATATTGCTTGTAAAGAACACTAGTTTTGAATTAAAATACAGTATACTACAGTACTGTATTCTCTATTAAAGACAATTGCAGGGACTGTTCACCATTTTGACTCTGAAAATCAGATCATTGCCTGGACAGGTCCACATGCATGGTGCCACCTCAAGTGTTATTTGTACAGTACATTACTCTATTTCACATCTATTATCTACTTTTCAGCCATTTTCTACACTGTGGTACTCTGTCTTTTTGTTGAGTATATATGAGTATAAAATTGTGTTCCACAAAAATATAGTGTTTGTGTATTGTATGTATTTTGTTCCTTGTAGTTAAGGTTTGGTTTCTTGTGTTATAGAGTCAGTACTGTGGTAAGTGTTATTTATCTCTCCCTGCCCATTGTCTCTCTCTACAGTGTATCTTCACAATTACAGTGGTCCCTCGGTTAACGAGCACAATTCGTTCCAGAAGGATGCTCGTTAACTGAAAAATTCGTTAACCGAAACCATTGGTTCAATGGGTTTTTGGGTAATTGGTTCCAGCTCACCGAAAATTACATACAAACGAAAAATAAATGCAGTAAAGTACACTTACTTTGAGGTGTGCATGTAGAAGGCTCCTGGTTGATGATGATGAAGATGGGAATTAGAATGGGGGTGGAGGAGAAGGGAGAAGAGAAGGCATTGGGGTGGAAGAGTAGTCACCCCATGCTGCCATTTCACCCATAAAATTTTAGTTCACTTTATATATTATCAATATGTAAAATAAATTTCAAAATGACCAATAATTTGACTGGAAACACAGAAAAAAGCGTTTATGTTGAAGAGTCTCAAACAAGATGTTCCTTCCTCTGAACCTGTAAACAAACTGACGCCAAGCTTGGTGTGTTGAGTGGCTGTTTGGCGCGCATAAAGCTAGTTTCCTGTACTTCAATTATGTTCAATAATTGTTAAAATGACTAAAAAATTTAATACTGTACTTTGAACCCAAGAATTTATCAAATGCTCAGATCGTCCTTTTTCATTCTGACCCCACCTCAGCCTAAGAGAATCCCACCTTGGTCTCTAGATAAAGTTACTAAATTTCTTATGGGGTCTAATTACAATATTAATCTGAACCAGGACACATTGCTCTAGAAGGCAGCCTTCTTTACAGTAATAGCAACAGGTATGAGAATCAGTGAGCTGATTTCAATTTCCAATAATCCATCATTATTGGTGGAAGATGTCACCCTTTTTCGGATGGAGATCCTAAGAAAAAATGAAAGGGAGAATTTTCGAGCTCAACCGATCAGGATAAAACGGCTGATGGATGAGACAAGGGTTCCTCATATATTGTGCCCAGTTAGGAATCTTCAAGAATGGTTAACCAGATTCCCTAATTGAGGCCCCTATGTATTCTCATCACAGGATGGTAGGAAATTGTCTCCTAGTCAAATGACGAAATATTTATCTCAGTTAGTGAGTTAAGCAGACCCTGGCAAGAAATTTTTGGCACATGACACCAGAAAATATGCAGGGTCTGTGGCCTTTCTGCGGCATATGAGCTTTCTTCATCTATTTCTGAAAGATGCTTCACATGTGGTGGTGCTGGGGTCTCCTCCCCTACCTAGTCAATCTCCACAACCAGGACTTTCTTCTTCCTCATCAGAGTAAAATGAGTATCCTAATTGGGATATGTTAATTAACATTGTACCCTCCAATAAATGTTCCTAATATTAGAAAATATTCCAAAAAGTTTATAATTATAATCTGGACCTAAGTTAGCGGAGCCTTATATGCAAAGTCATCTCCCTCTCCACCTACTGCTCGAGTAATCAAAGCTAGACGTCGACATCCCACCCATCTCCACCCCTCAAGAGTTGACATTTGTTTACTGCTCGCTCTAGGGCAAGAGATGATGGTAGCAATGCGTGTGATGGGGGGTGAGGGAGGGGGTTTTGAGAATTGCAATTAAATGCCAGGTAGCTATGTGTCCTCCTAATATTACGTATTAAGTAATTATTAGATGTTTTAATTGCCTGTATATTGGCCTGGCGAGTTATTGCTAGGCAATAACATACCTAGGTATAAAGCTAGACGTCGCATTCTGGACTATCACAAAAACTGGGTTTTAGAGGAAAACGGCTTTTCTTTTGTAATACAGTGATACTGTACTTCCTTATAATGGATCTCTCTCTCTCTCGATATAATGGACTATTATCCCTATGTGGATCGTTAGACGGAGGTTTCACATGACAATCGGACCCTTTATATGACGGACTTGCATCTCTATATAGTCCGTTAAATAGATGTTTCACTCTACCAACCCCAAATATTTAAGATTAATTTATTAACCACCAAAGAATTACCTGTGAATTTTTGGTTAGGCGAATGAATTGAACTTCTTTTTATTTTAAATAAATGAGTTAATAAATTCTCCAGTGGAGGGGACTAACTTTATTCATCATTTATGTACTTGAGCTTCTTGTTGGTTACCTGTCCTCTTGGTGAAGGTGTGGCATGTGATGTGACCCTGACCATGTGACTGTCTACTGTATTGTGGTGTTTATGGTGCTACATGGGATGTTGTCATTGTTTTAATTAAAAGTTACTTTGATTTTTTTCATCCTTAGGATGGACCCTATTTACACTTACTGTACCTTTAACAGTGTTTTATCACTTTACATTGTCTGAAAATGACTTGTGTTACTCAACAACAAACATTGACTTTAGTTAGTTATGTTTATAGCATTGCCAATCACTAAAATCTGGCATATTCTTAAAGCAATGTTTTGGTATTCTTTAAATTATTACATAATTCTAAGGCAGTATACCATATCATTTCTATAGTTACATTGCTATACTTACATACTACATGAGATAAATATTAAGACTATTTAAATCTCTGCAAACTTACATAATGTGATGCCTGGACTAGTCACTACACCAACCTTATCAAAGTATATATCAAGTTTTCGGTCTGTTTTTGTTATATATGATCTTAACAATATTTCCCTGCACATGCAGAAGCAGCAGGAGCAAAAGGGGGTGAAGGAATTAATAGTGTTGGACCCCAAGCGATCAAATGTTATCAATATTGGCATGACAAAGCTGCCACCACCACGTACAATCAAGACTGCAATTCTCAAGATGGATTCTTCAATCATCAACCGTGAGGGAATAGAGGCAAGTTTTTTCCTTCATCATAGTTTATCATGTGGATATCATATTGAAACTGAATATTATCCCGGACCTGTATAATAGTGTGCACAGTTATACAATGGAGATTACTGATTAAAATACAGTACTGAATATTAACTGTACAGTACTGTATTATGATGTGTAAGTTCTTATATGGTTTAACTAAATTGTACTTGTAACTGTATTTCATTTTTATTTTTAAATAATAATGATCACCCTATTCATATTGTGTGTTACTTTTGATTTACTGAATTGATTCACCTGTTTAATCAAAATGACATTTTCATAACCTTTTCCAAATCTTACAGAAACTGCTTACAACAATGTTACCAACACCCGAAGAGAAACACAAGATCCAAGAAGCTGCCATCTCCAACCCTGAGTTGCCTCTGGGTTCAGCAGAACAGTTCCTTATGATGCTTTCGTCTATCTCAGAACTTCCTGCCAGATTAAAATTATGGATCTTTAAACTAGACTATGAAAATATGGAAAAGGTAGAAATTGAACTACAAACACTTCTTCTTACTAAACATCTCTATGATACTAGAAATTTCTATTGTGATCTTGAAACAACATTTATTTTAGAATATTAGTTGAAATTATTTGTTTATGCCAAAAAGTTTAGACTTAATTTTTGGTTTATTCTGTTCTCTGAAGTTTACATACGGGCTTATTTTGTCTTTTTATTTGATAAAATTAGGAAGTTGCTGATCCTCTGATGGACTTGAAGCAAGGAACAGAAGATCTACAAAAGAATCGCACATTCAAGATCATCCTCTCCGTTCTCCTCTCCATTGGTAACTTCCTAAATGGCACAGTATGTCGTGGTTTCCAGATTGAATACTTATCCAAAGTACCAGAAGTGAAGGATACAGTTCACAAACACTCGTTGCTTCATCACTTGTGTCACATGGTTATTGAGAAGTATTCAGATACTTCTGATCTCTACTCAGAGGTAAGTTTTGTATACTGTATTAATATACTTGTACAGCACTTTATAATAATAAGAATGAATGATGAGTCTCTGTGTATTTGGTTCTTATAAAAATTCCAGCAATGTAAATTATATTCTCCCCTGTCACTTCTGTGACATTTTATAAGCAAAAAACATAAACTCAATCTAAAGGACATAAATAAACACATAAATACTTCACTAGACCTTCGGCGCCAACTGTTAAACATGTCACTGTCACTCCCCTCCCTCCCTCCCTCCCTCCCCAGCCAGGGTTTTGTATTTTAGGCTTAAAGTTTTTAGCTTATATAATGTCACAGACTAAGGTTAGGAGAATATAATTTGTATTGCTGGAATCCTTGCAAGACAACGAATAATTTGAATATAAATGTCTTATATTTTGCACAAGAGATAATTTTTTTTTGCTCTTTGGAATAAAATTCTTAAATTAAAAAAAAAAATGTATGTCTAATGCGAGCTATAGCATGTTTATATTCTAATTAATCACTATCTTATTAGAATTCCAGCAATGTTAATTATATTCTCCCATGTCAGTTCAGTGACATTTTATAAGAGAAAAACTTAAAGTCACACTGAAGGACAGATAAATAAATAAGCACTAGACCTTGGCATCAACTTTCAAACATATCACCTCACCTCCCTCCCTCCCCCCATCTTCCCAGCCAGTAAACAGGCCATTTTGCATTCCTTAATTTTAGCTGTGTTCATTTATGAGTGTTTGTTTTAACATAATACTACAAAAAAACAATGTTTTGCTTATTCTAGGAGATGGGCTGAGGTGCATCTGGGTAGACTCTCAGTCTTTTTAGTATTTTGTGTTTCTCTCAAGTACCAAACTAAATTATTCCATTGAAAAAACACTTCAATATACTTGTAGTGCGAATTCGGTAAGTGGAACCTATCTCGTGTTATATCGACGTTCTTCTGTATAAACATCTCAGGGGGCACTACTTGGTCGACTGTACCTACCTGGAGCTGGTGGATGTCCACCCCACAGGGGGTCACAGCTCAAGGTTGAAGAAGCCACAAGTCCATAAAACTGAAAGGGCAAATTTTTTGGAGTGAGAATTGTGAACTCTTGGAACAATCTGCCAGAGAATGTTGTGACGGCACCGAGTGTGAGTTTATTCAAGGCCAGACTTGATCAACACTGGAGCAGGTTCCGATATATTCAGGAGCCAGTGTCTGCCAACAATGCATATCAAAGGTGTGACCGATCACCCAAGTAGAATGACATCTCTTGTCAATACTTCATGAAGTTAAGGTTGAGATCAATGAATGGCAAATTTTCCCTGTCCCATACTGCCTCACCCCCCAGGACAAGAACCACTTTTCTAGTTTTAAAAATGTCCTTCCATTTGGTAACAAATAAAATAGTTTCCAAATAAATTTGGAATTTTTTTTATCAATTCACATATGAACACTTTTGCCGATAGTTAGAACACATATTATCAATTAAAATATTAACACTTTGAGTGACAGTGATCAGGGTGGCTACACCTGGACCATGAGGGGTGTAGCTGCCACCTGCCCCCACCCCTGACAGTGTTAAGTGATGACTTTTACCGGCACAGTAGAAAGCCATATAGCTTCTACAGTACTGTAATGTGAAGGATGAAAATAAGCATATTGATTTAAAGAGCCAGAAGGGAGAGGATCTGGTCAAGGTAGATGATAATAAATTATAGTTTGAGGAGCATATACGATGAAGTGAACAAGGCAAACCAGTTCACAGAACTGATCCAGCAAAGGTTCCTGCCACTCTGACCAAGAAATCACTTGGAAACTACAGATTCTAAAAACTAGATACTGTATTGTACTGTACTGTATTGGAGTTGATAAAACAATGTATGGTACTGTACATAATGTATAACATGGATACAGTGCTCATAACTGCAGGTGGCAAAGGGAGTACTGGACACCTTTACTATACTGTACTGTATGTCTCCATAAATTTGTTTCAAAATTATATTTTTCTTTACCAATTTGTTTTAATCTACTATAATTGGTACTAAATCTTGATTATAAACAACAAAAATATTTATCAACAAAATGTGAGTATGTACTGTATATGAGTACTGTACAGTGTTTTCTATGCACTGAACTACTGTACAGGTAAAATGTAATTTAATATGTTCTCTTTTTTTATTAGATTGGATCTATCACCCGCGCCTCTAAGGTCGACTTTGAAGAGCTGTCAAGTAACATTGCTAAAATGGAAGTGGACTGCAAGGCATCGTGGGACCATCTAAAGGCCATTGCTAAGCATGATGGCCCCACACAAATCAAACTCAAGTAAGGTGGTTTTGTCAGTGCAGTTGTCCTCAAATAATTTCATGTTATTCATGTAACTCGAACCTCGCAAAAGAAGTTTTTTGTTTAGAAACCCCAAACTAAGTGAAATACTGTACTTGTTAAAAGAGGACATTATAACATGGTGCTTATGAAGATGGGTTCTTGCTAATAGTGAAATTAATCAAAATGATAAATAAATCCCATTAAATACTACACCACTATTTTCTTACATGACTAAAATGTGCCAAAATAGGTCTTAAACATTATACAAAAGTTGCAGATGCTTCGAAATACGTATACGTGAGTTACCACCACTGTCTCCATACAAAAAATAAACATTTAGCAGCAACGATAATAAAACAACAAAAATGGAAGTCACAAGGTGACAGTCCTTAATAATAAATGAAACTAGATTTAATAACACTCACCAGTTAATTTTTTTGGAGCTTGCTGTGTCGTTTACCACCGCTGTGTCGCTCCTACTGTGCACCTACTTCTCCTGACGCTCACTTACCTCATCCCTTTATATCACTTTCATTTTTGCGTCCAAACTAATGACATTCCTGGGCACCTTGGCTGGTTTACCAACACACACACTTGCAGGCCTTTTCCCCGGACATAATGGGCATAAAATGTTCACCAAGCACGACAGACACGAATCTTAGCAGGCTACTGTACTGTAAATATTTTGAGATGATTCAATGGGATACGTTGCCAGCCAGTCCCCAAACACACAGGTATCACTGACAAAGCAATCCCTACACTTTTAAAATCAATAGAAAACAATTAAACAACACCCACTACATCATGAAGAATAAGCATAGTCATCACATGTCCCCTTCGAGGCTAATGGGACTCTAGTAGGTGAAGTTGAGATGTCACTCTGACTCCCTCACAGCCTCTGGGAGAGTCTCATGCCACTTCACAATGTCATGCTTCACCTCAGAGACATGGTTGTCTCGGATGCCTTGGCTTTCCCAGACATTTTCAAAGTTACACTGCTCACTTCACAGTCACAAAAACACAGCAAACGATGATAACGTAAAAACAGTGATAGCAGTCGACACTGCTTACACCATTTTCACAATAACATAGACAAAGTAATTTACAGTCACATAACAACAGAAAATATCACTTCACAGTCACCATAACACAGTTCAATCTAAATGTTGGTGCAGTTCTCTCACTACGTATAAGAAAATAAAAAACACCGATGATAAGCACAATGTACGTACAGCCAATGATGCTGACCGATAATCATGGAGCTATGCGATGGCGGGGTCACGATTGACAAAGATTCAAGCACAAGACTTGTGCACAAGTTGGCTGTGTGGCGGCATGGAAGGAGATATTACCACAGCTGACAAGTGCAGTCAGAGATGCATTACCTATGGTGGTGCATAGGGTTAAATATTGCTTCCTTATAATATGTCTCTGCATTGCAGGAATCCTTGCAAGACAGCGATTAATTTGAGTTTATACAATCCATAGTTTGTTCTAGAGATAAAAAGAAAATATTCCAACGAATGGATATCGATGGATATCATTAGTGAATTTTTTTTAGCATATACTGTATAGTAAGATGGTCTTAATTCATGACCATCATTAAAGCAGAATGTCACTGAACAAGACAACGTTTATTGAGATTTACCTGTACGGTACTTTATTTATTATCTGCTTACTTTATTTACAGTTAATTTTTAGTTTAACAAATTTATTGACAAAGCTTGGAGTACAGTTTGCCTATTCTGAGTAATTCAGTCAGGTCTTGACACTGATGGTGGTATCACTTCTCACTGCCACGCAGGACAGAGGTTCATACACAAAGAAATACATCATATTCATTAACAGCTATATATATATATAGGTCAGATTTATGTGGGTAATGTCACTGTTCACTGCCATGCAAGACAGTGGTTCATATATATTGGATGTCATATTCTAATTGAAGACTAATCAGTGTGGGCTAGCAAATTTGGGATAAACAGCAAGAATGTCCCCAAGCACCCCCGATTCAATGTAGTAATTACAAAGTTCATGGTACAATAAGCCAGGTGGCCTGAAGTCTTTGACAGTGTCACATTCAATAATATAGTGTTCAAGAGTATATGCTTTAAAGGTTTATCACAAAGTTTACATGCTGAGTGTTCCGGTATGGGTACAGTGTTACTAACTTGGCAGATGTGTCTGTATCCTAGCTTAATTCTGGCCACGACTACATCACATTGTCTGGTTCTGTCCTTATGCTGGTCATACTGGTACCTCTCATCATAAAATTTGTCATATTTACTAATGTTATAACTGCCAGGTCTCTCTGCATTTCTCAGTTCTTCTAGATCAGAGTTCATGATTCTGACTTGAATGTTTTTAAGTACAGCATTGGACAGGCCAAGGTCACGGTCAACATTTTCTTTCTTACATGCCTCATTGGCCAGTTCTATCAGCACGGTCATGATACCTAATTCCAACATGGGACGAAATACACACAAATTCGATACGAGAGTTGTTCTCAATGGCAGTTATCACATTTCTTTTAATATCACATACAACTTTAGACATAGATCCTGATGGGCTGTTCATTGATTTCAAAGCACTTTGAGAGTCACAGAATATCACCCCCCTCCATTTTCTTTAAGGTAGCCTGTGGCTAAGTGGTTTCCAGTTAGTTCAGTTTGTGTTGTGCTGACCCAATTGTTCAGCCTTTGCTTGTTTGACACTATCATCTCTTTATTTACAGTAATTTACTTTTTCCTCTTTCCCACTGATCGGCTTGTTAGCCACTTGTGCGGTTGGTCACTGCTATGTTACATACTGTTGGCAAGTACTGGCTATGTACTGGCTCCAGAATGTATCTGAACCTGTGCCATTGTTGATCGAGTCTGGTCTTCAATGAACTCATATTATTTATTTATTTATTTTCAGAATGTCAGAGTTTTTAGCTGACTGTGCTGAGCGCATCATTGTTCTGGGTGTTATCTATCAACGAGTCATGACCAGGTGAGTGGCTGAGAGGTAAAGTAGTAACATAATGATGTTTGGAAATTATGAAAAAAACAGAAAATACAGTAAAAATCAACAAGAAAATATATTACTTTTGAATGTTTTAGTATTCTGATTAATCTTTTCTTGATTAAGGTTTGAGTTATTGGTATAACAGTAGTATAATTTCCACTGAAGTAGGAGCCACCCAAATAACCTTCCTTTTCAGAGTTACTGTTAAATCATGACATTAACAGGTAGCATGTTAAGACTGTGAGGCAAATATTGTTGTAAGTGAGAATATAAATTCTAAATTTCCTTAGATTTAAGTAAATGCTTTTTTAATTTGCTGCACTGCTGTATTACATAAATCCTAAGTTGTTTGGAAAAAGCGACTTATAATTTGTTTTGACAAATTATATAACATTGACTGTAGTTTGTTTTTCATATTATGTTTATAGTACAGTACTATTACGCTCAATTGATGTTATTAAATATTTCTAGATTTCAAAGGTTCCTAATATGGTTGGGTTCACCCCTACTGATGGCTCAAGAGGTTAAAGTGCAGCAAGTGTGTTCCACCATCAGTGAGTTTGCCCTGGAGTACCGCACCTGCCGAGAGCGTGTACTGCAACAGATTCAGAAGAAGGCAAATCACAGAGAGAGGAATAAGACTCGTGGGAAGATGATCATGGAGGTATGAATTTAGGATAATTTTCTTAAACAGAAACAGATACAGGATATTAGAAGTTAAATATCTGCCTGTTATGCAATTTTACTTATTAGGATTGGTCCACCCCAACTGCCACCTCTTGTGAGAATGTATCCTGTGAGCTGTAAGGCTGGGAATTAAGACATTAGTCAAATAATCAACCAGATGCTGTATGGGTACTCCATTTCATATCACTCACCTCATTTCATACTTGAAAGCCTGTACATATATTTATGATATACAGTATACGGTACTTATATCTGTACATTCAGTATAACATTCCAGTATCCATGCACTTTCATTCAGTATAGCTCTCCAGTATCCTTACACTTTCATTCAGTATAACACTTCAGTATACATACAATTTAATTCAGTAAAACACTCTAGTATCTGTACACTTTTATTTTCAGTGTAATATTTGCTGTTAATGTATACACTGTATTTGGAATTGTAGATAAGTCCCTCATAGAAATTCTCCATATCTGCTTTCTCTAAGAGTGAAGAATGTACTGTACAGTCTCCAAAAAAATTATCGTTAACCATGGGGTCGACGTAATTAGAGGCTTCCGAGCAATGTTACTCGACCTATTTCTGAACGGTTGGTAGTTCTACATGTGTGACCTTTGAGCATGAACGAATATATACGTTTTCGAACAATTTGAATCCTCCGAGGCTTCAGATCATATTCTGCATTACATGAATCAGAGTGGATGTCGTAAATGGACACCAATGTCATGCCAGCCATCAAAGGGATCTTACATCGAATGGAGCGAGGAATTATCAGGGAGACATCGCAAGATGTGAAAAGTGCTATCATTGCCTTTCACAACAAGAGTACAGTATATACGTAATGCTGCGATACCACAGTGAACTGGGGTGAGTGAACCCCCAGTATTATGATGGGTTAGGTGTCATAAAACTGCTCCTGCCACACTGAAACTTACAACCACAAATGTTTTACTATAGATGGACAGAGGGTTCTGTTCCTGCAAGTCCCTTGATTTGAAACCTTATTTCAATGTTAAATCAATGCAATTCACATATCAGTAACATGACAGATCCCATGTAGACTGATATATTGTATATTACTTGTAGTTGTTCACTCTAATATCAAGTACTATATGCTTATTCACTCTCCATAAATCAGACATATCGTGAGCAACATGAGTAAGCAGATTGTGGATCTCGGTATGAATGAAACTCCGTTACTGCAGCAATATATTGGTGAAATGTCTGTTTTGAGGTCTGTCTCAGTTATGATCTGAAACACTTCCATTTAATGTATATATCAGTTTTATTGTAATCATCAGTCAGTGGCTTGTTTACATATGCCTTGCATCTACCCAGCATGATACATACATTAATATAGCTTAATGGATTTCATGTTATATTGAAGTATCTAATATGCCATACAAGAGACAACTCTTCCCTCCCAATCCTACCCCCCATCTCTAATTATTGCTAATATGGCCAGCAGGCATACCAACTTATGATGATGCACCGGGGATCATATCAGAGCATTTCGTCTAGTGTTTCAAATTGTAGTGATGGAAAATCTAACGATACTTTATTGGGGGACTGTACAGTAGCTATACAAAGTGAAGGATGTACAGTAGCTCTACAAAGTGAAGGATGTACAGTAGCTCTACAGAGTGAAGGATGTACAGTAGCTCTACAAAGTGAAGGATGTACAGTAGCTCTACAAAGTGAAGGATGTACAGTAGCTCTACAAAGTGAAGGATGTACAGTAGCTCTACAAAGTGAAGGATGTACAGTAGCTCTACAAAGTGAAGGATGTACAGTAGCTCTACAAAGTGAAGGATGTACAGTAGCTCTACAAAGTGAAGGGTGTACAGTAGCTCTACAAAGTTTTAGAATGACCAATAATTTTAATATAAAAAATGAAAAAATATTCAAGAACACAACCTTCTTCATATTTACTCAACTGGAAACGAATGTAAACCTAGAACAGATTACTGTATTGGCGGACTAGCTGATCAGCGATGCTCACAACAAAACATGTTTGTCTTAAAGATTTCGTTAATCAAAGTTTTGTTCGTTAACCGAATTGAAGATCTGTATGGGAGCTAATTCGTTAACTGAAATTTCGTTAATCGAACCGTTCGTTAACTGAGGGACCACTGTACTGGCAAACAGATTAATTTAAAGCAATATCCAATATACCAGTTCTTTTGTGATGCTCTTTACTACACACAGAAATACACCTACAAATAAAATGGCAGAGATGTACTTCATAAAAGAATTCATGCTTGCATTTTTCATTCCATTAGAATTGCATTTATAATTTTACTGTATGTACTGTATACTCGATGTAGGAATTGTCAAGATGTACTGTCATAATAGCTGCATATACGGCATATGTTCATTTCCCCCTCTTCTCTCTCCAAACACAGGAACCTGACTACAGAGCAAATGGAATCCTCAAGCCTTGTTTGAAGAGTCGATCGGTACTATACTAATATTCAATGGATGCCATATTGCTTTGCATAACCCCTCTTCAGGGGCAGATCCAGGAATATAAAATAATGGGGGGTCCAAGAAGTTATAGGTGGGGAAACATGGCGAACAATTTTGAATCATGTGCGCTTGATAATAGGAGATATTCTGAGGTCAATATTAATTACTTTTTAATATATAAAAATGCCTGAGCACAATACTGCATTAAAGAAAAATTATTGGAATTTTCTGATGAAAAGGGGAGGGATCTGGACCCCTGGATCTGCCCCTTCTCCTACATATGCCAATTAGCTCATTTTATTTATAAAGCATTTACTCTACTTTGCACTTTCTAAGATATTTTCACTGTATATATTAGTTGTGTTTAATACCAGAATTGAAAATCAGGGACATTTCAGTTGATAATGTACAGTTGCAGACATACGAGTTGAAGCCGCCTAGTCCACTAATTGGTAACACTTACATGTAAACCAAAAAATGGAAAGTAAAGGCCTTATTGAAGTTTGGCATCCAAGCAATAGATGGAATTTATGTGTGGAAAATTGTTGTCTACTTGTTTACATTGGCACACTGTTAAGATTTAATGAAATAAGGAAAAGTGAATAATATTTTTTGTTTTTGTTTTTTCTTCAACATTACAGTATGTCTCATGTAATTTTAAGGGTTATGAGTAAGCATAATGAATTGTCTAATGGTAGACCCTGCTGCCATATGGCATCACAAAAATTGTGACGAAGTCCCAGGTTGCTGATCTGACTTTCTCTCACTCATTTACACACAATTGCAGGGTCTCAATAGTTTCTCTTACTTTGACAACACACACACACACACACACACACACACACACATATATATATATATATATATATATATATATATATATATATATATATATATATATATATATATATATATATATATATATATATATATATATATATATATATATATATATATATATATATCACTTTTGACTTTTTTAATTTTTTTATTTATTTGTGGTCCTTTATTATTATTATTATTATTATTATTTTATTATTATTATTATTATTATGTTTAATATTTTTGTTCACTCCAGAATGCGACCTCTAGTTTTATACCTAGGTATGTAAATGCCTAGCATTAACTCGCCAGGCCAACATACAGGAAATTAAAACATCTAATACAGTGGTCCCTCGGTTAACGAACACAATTCGTTCCACAGAGTCGTTCATGCTTTCACCCAAACGTCTGTTAACTAGGATGTTCCCGTATAGTATTTGAATGGAAATCTGCATGGCCCATCTAACCATATGCTGTAGTATAAAATGGCATACTAGCCAAAAATATGGTGTCTTGGTAGAACATTAACATTAACTTTGAATGGTGTCTAAAATAAATTGATTACACATGCAAACCAGAACTGAGATGAAGGAAAATTTATCATATCTTAGTGTATACTACTTGTCGACACAAGTGTAAGCAGTACAGTAAATAGTGTATCTATGGTGTTGAAGGAAATGAGAGTTGGGTGAAGATAACACAAGATTAAATTTTCTGTATATGAGAATAAATATGAAAAAACAAATTTTTCAAAAGATTTATTGTGCAGTTGTATTGAAAGGTGGACTCACAGTGACCAGAAGGCTGTGAGATACTTTTGTAATTAATTTAGAGAATCAGCCATTATTTAGAAGGGAATTAATACAGGACCTGTATGATGACTTAGCACTGTGCTGTGGTTTCACTTAAAAATACGTATGTGAATGTACACACAAATTAAGTTATTAGTGTTTGAAGTTTGTTTTTCGTGAAACATTTTTAGAATAAGATATATTAATTTGACGACTTAAGTGGAAGTTTGGAACTAACATTAACTTAATTTAAAATACACACGAGGTGATTTTCATTTCCAGTATTTCTACAAGGTAAACTTGACTGTTAATGATACTCAGTAATTCATTTGTGTTTTGCCACTATAAAGCTTTTTAATTTCTTATACATACAATATCATGGTCTTATAAACTTAGCCCTGAGGTATCTTCCTATATACTGGGGAAGGTTCATTGAAATATTGCTAATAGTTTACCAAAGTTTATTCTTGTACATCTCTGGATAAACTAATGAGGAAAGCCCTCTCCCCTTGTGAGTTAAGAGTGTTACAAAGACTGTCAGTTATTATACAGTACAAAAGACACATCATGCTGACAGACTGTGTTGCCTTGTAGTTAAAATTCTTTGCTTTCTGTAATTATTATTTTATCTAAATATATTTCTCTATTGGACAGATGGAGAAGTTTAAGAGACCAAAACAGACAAAGGAAGAAAAGGCTGATTCTGACCTCAGACAGCTTCTTAACTACTCTGATGTGTCAGACACCGAGACCATTCGTGGGAAGAACACGTGGAGGAGGACCAGAGAAAGTAAGAACACTTGTGTCATTTTTTCATATCTTTTCACTGCTGTTTAGGGACTTGATTTTTATCTATTAAAGGTTAGTTAAGATGATTAATTAAATGTAATTGATAACTTTTTCTTACCCATAATTATGGTGATAATTTATTTCAAGAGATTAGATTTAACATCTTGGTAAACTTATTTACTTTTCTTTTTCACTCCCAGGGTATACAGTAGGGTCGGGATATTTCGCGAGATAGGCTCCAACGATGTTTGCTATATACTAAATTGTGATATATAATTACAGGTTGACAACCCTTTATCTGAAATTCCGAAAACCTAAAACCAAAACTTTTTTGTTGTGGAGCAAAACCTTTTTTTTTTTTCGGGGATTAGCCCACCCGGGCACAGGTCACTGACCCACATTGGGGCCTGGGGGCGAAAATGTAATAATAATTATAATAATAATAATAATTATTCATAGTAAATAAAATTTAAAAAAAATAAAATATGATAATATTACTCATAATAAAATAATAATAACAATAATACTGTAATAAAAAAAAATAATAAAGAAATACAAGAATGAAAAAAGATCAAAAGTGAGAAACACGACCTAGACCTATGAATTATTATTATTATTATTATTATTATTATTATTATTATTATTATTATTATTATTATTATTATTATTATTACAATTACATTTTAGCCCCCCAGGCCCCAATGTGGGTCAGTGACCTGTGCCCAGGTGGGCTGATCCCTGTAAAAAAAAACCTACCCATTCTGAAATCCAAAAAATTCCAAAATCCGAAATGCATCTGGCCCCAAGGATTTCGGATAAGAGATTATCAACCTGGTACATGTAATCAATGAGGAAAATAAGGTTAGGTTCTGGAGGCCAAAAAAGTGACTAAACTTGACTTAACGAGTTAATTTTCTTACAAACTTAAGCACCAATGAATACTAGACTCAGGAACAACAGGGTATTTCAATATCAGTATCAAGGAACACCAGACTCGGCAGCTCACGCCACACTGCCACCCTCACTTGACAATCCCACACCTACATAAACGAACACCATAAATATTAGTTACAGTATTAAATCTTTTCCATTAAGCTTTCCATTATCCTCACTTCACTTTTCACGTCACTAGCAACCCATTTACACTCACCTTAGAAGTCGTAATCTGCAGCAGAGTCGGCTGCTTGCTCGTCACTCACTCAGAAAGACTGAGCGGGCGAGTGTGAATGTGTGAGTGAGCAGCCACAGTGGCGCCTCTGGTGAGCAAATAACGCATTTGTTTACCATGGCGGTACATTTGAAATATTTCCTGCCCGATTTCCCTCACGAAATAAAAAAATTATCGCTATACAGTCATCCCTTGGTTATCACGCCCAATTGGGACCGCGCCGAGTGCTTGATAACGAAAAACGAGATAATGAAAGTACAGAACCTATAGGATTTATTCTAATTGGTTCCAGGCACCCAAGACCCAAACCCAACTTTCCCATTTTATGACCATTTAGACCCACTAAATATATATATACTGTTATGGTAAATATCATAAACTTACATAGGCATGGCTAGGTTTATTACAAAGTGATGGAAATGGTATGCTCAATACTGTAGTCCACAAAACATGTAGCTATGCTTTTTTTATTTGGTCCCCCATCATAGGAATCCGTTTTCTCTCACTTCAGGATGCCTGAGTCCTCCGTTTTCTCTCAATCTTAGAGTGCACCCGAAACTTCGTTATTCCTTGGTGATGACACAGAATTTGATATTGCAAATGGGGTTGCAATTGTTGAGGCAACTTAGATATGTCTGATTACAGTTGGAATATTCAAGATCCATTGTGAGTGATGTTTAAAGCTTCAACTGTCTTTATGGTTGGTAAAACTTGTCAAGTCTGTCAGTCTGAGTGGCATGTGTGAGTGCTTGTGTTTGTACAACTGCTTTCATTCGGACCCACTAAAGATATACTGTAATGTTATGGTAATTATCAGAAACACACATAGGCATGACTAGGTTTATTACAAAGTAATGAAAAGGGTACGCTCAATACTGTACAGTGGGTAGTCCACAAAACATGTAGCTATGCTTTCTTTATTTGAGTGCCCCGTCATAGGATTCCGTTTTCTCTCGCTTCAGGCCGCCTGAGTCGTCCGTTTTCTCTCAATCTTAGAGTGCACCCGAAACTTCGTTATTCCTTGGTAATGACACAGAATTTGATATTGCAACTGGGGTTGCAATTGTTGAGGCAACTAGATATGTCTGATTACAGCAAATGTGTTATTGTCAATTTGTAGGTGAAAGATTTTATCCTCAATAGATGTAGGTTAACATTACACCTGGAAGCAAATGCTTACTAAAGCCTAAGGAAGGAAGAATATTCCTTTAACACATAATATCTGGCCAGTATGGGGAGGATCATTGTGTCTCCGTCAGGGGGTCGTGGAGTGGTGGTCCAGCAGGCGTCACGGAAGTGTTGTGTTTTTTTTTGGGGGGTGGAGGGGGCACTGACATATATGCGATCGGACGTTGTTCGGTTGGACGTTAACCGGCGCATGACTGTATATCTATATATTTTATTTCAGTGAAGACGAGCCCGGGACGGCGCAGCGACATTCACTGAGTGACTTAAAAGCAGGGGATATAGTCACAAATGATCTATAGCGACTTCATAAAGAAGACGCTCTGTGGTCGCCATGATGCTGACCAGAGATCGTATAAGAAATTGTCCCAAACACAATAATTGAGAGACATAAACAAATTAAAAGTCACTCTATTTCCTCACTGTGCTAAGAAGTACAAATACCGTATAAAAAATCCTCGTGGAACTTAATATTTCAGCTATTACAACACAAATTCGCGGAGCCTTCTTTGTGTGTATTTACAGCTGAATCGCCAGGCAAGAAGATGACGGTGGTAGTGCATATGATGGGGGGTGAGGGAGGGGGTTTTGAGAATTGCAATTAAATGCCAGGTAGCGACATGTCCTCCTAATATTACTTATTAAGTAATTATTAGATGTTTTAATTGCCTGTATGTTGGCCTGGCGAGTTATTGCTATGCATTAACATACCTAGGTTAAAGCTAGGCGTCGCATTCTGGGTTGAACAAAAATATTAAAATAAACAAATACGGGAGTCAAATAAAGTACAGATATTTCCTACGACGGCAGCCCTATGGAATGTTCTGTTAACGCTGTGGTCCGCTCTCAGGGAGAAGGTCCAGGGCAGCTTCCTCACTTGGCGTTGGTGGGCGATGTCTTGCCACACAGGAGAGACGCCAGGGCACGGAGGGTGGATACGACGTGAAGGAAGTGGCGATGACGTGGCAGCCGCGGTAGTAGCTGGAGTAAGTGTCCGAGATTGACAGCCGAATAGTGAAGGACTGGGGAATCAGCCCATGAGCCCCAGGAGCCTCAGATGAGTACACAACCAGAGTTGGATCGAACAGCGGGGGAAGTGCAGCCTGTGGTGCTGGCTGGATAGTGTCTGATGTGTGACCTTCTCACCTCCGTATACCCCCCCCCCCTCCCCCCCAGTGGGGCCGCGAACAAGCAAACGAGTGGCGGACAACCATCCCACTCGTTACCGCCCTTACAATTGACTCTGAATTATGAAATGAAATTTCTTTTTATTTACTGGGGAAAAACTAAGAACACTGAGAATTAGTTACAGGGAAAAGATTATTATTATTATTATTATTATTATTATTATTATTATCATTATCATTATTAATATTATTATTATTATTTTCCAGGTAAAACACGAAGTCGAGGTGAGGAGAGCATGACGGAGATGATAGGTGATGGTGAAGATGCCTTACTAGACTCTTTGGTCAAGACGGCCACTCAAGGGCCATCATCTCGTTCCACACCTAGAGAACGGAAGAGGTCACGCCATGCAGATCGAAAATCTTGTAAGTACTGTACTGCATATAGTGTTGAGCTTAAACTTCATTACTTGTCTCATATCACTTGTAGTTTATGTCCTGGTGTTGAAGATATAGTTTGTAAGTGAATCTGATGACCATAAAGAATCATATTATAGTGAGGTGAGGTATTTTCAGCCATTACATGGTAATAGCATCAACAACAGCAAAATCGGTATTCAGTATGAACTGTATTGTAGTACAGTATATTATTTTTGGTGGCATCTTCATTTTATGGTTGAGGCAAAGTTTATGATTATAAAGCTGCTGATGTACAGTGTATGTGCAAGATACGCAAACTTTAACATATTTTATCACTCAAGAACCAGTGTTTTAGAATCTAATTATTGTACTAATAACCTTTCCTTCTCTCTTCACCTTCATGTATAACCCAAAGTAAAATTAATTAATATTTCACTTTTTTATATCTGTATATATACTATATGTACGAACCATGATGGCACATACATCACAAGTGGTGCTACATCCATTACAAATAGTGATACAGTACTGTACATACGTTACAAGTGTCAGTTATTTCTTAGTTTTCTTTCAGGTCAACAGTTTACATTTTCTCAACTATCTGACAGATTCTTATTTTCTTGAAGTGTCTCTATATTTTGTCATTAAACATCTTTCTCTACCAGTTTGGAGCTCCCGAGTGTGAGTGATTGAATATAGGACAAGCAGCCACTAAAATGCTGGCTTGGTTGTTACTGTGTACTGTGGATAATTTTACAACTCAAATCTATAAATGTTTATATGTGTGTGTGTTTTCTTTTTAATTTGTTTGTTTTTGTGTTTTTGAAGTTTACCAAAGGAACTCTTGGATGTTACTTTATATAGTTTGACCTCTGTGTTGTTCATTGTTTTTGCAGTTGTTATCATTGAACATACCAAACAGGTTCGAGCCTCGGCCCAGACACACGTGAGAAGGGTGTTATCCAGTGTGGCCTTCACTACCAAACACCACAGGTTTCCTGGTCCCTGGTTTCCTCCTCTCCTAACACTGGGTAAACTGCCCAAATGGCTAGTAGCTGAAAAGTGGCGAATTTGATAAAAAAAGAATATATATATTTAAATTATGTGATAAAGTCCAGAATGCGACGTCTAGCTTTATACCTAGGTACGTAAATCCCTAGCATTAACTTGCCTGGCTCACGAATCAGCTGTAAACACGCACAAGGAAAGCTCTGCTAATTTGTGTTGTAGTAGCTGAAATATAAGTGCCACGAGGATTTTATATGTGGTATTTATGCATCTTAGCACAGTGAGGAAATCGAGTGACTTTTATTTTGATTATGTCTCTCAGATATTGTGTTTGGGGCAATTTTTGATATACACCCTGAGAAAGGCGGGATTCTCTTAGGCCTAAGAGAATCCCACCTTGGTCTCTAGATAAAGTTACTAAATTTCTTATGGGGCCTAATTACAAGGCAGCCTTCTTTCTAGCAATAGCAACAGGTATGAGAATCAGTGAGCTGATTTCAATTTCCATCAATCCATCATTATTGGTATTTTCTGAGGAAAATGTCACCCTTTTTCCTTGGAGATTCTAAGAAAAAATGAAAGGGAGGATTTTCAGGCTCAACCTATCAGGATAAAATGACTAATGGATGAGACAAGGGTTGTTCATATATTGTGCCCAGTTAGGAATCTTCAAGAATAGTTAACCAGATTCCCTAATCGAGCCCCGATGTATTCTCATCACAGGATGGTAAAAAATTGTCTCCTAGTCAAATGACAAAATATTTATCTCAGTTAGTGAGTTAAGGAGACCTTGGCAAGAAATTTTTGGCACATGACACCAGGAAATATGCAGGGTCTGTGGCCTTTCTGTAGCATATGAGCCTCAGTCAGATCAAAGAAGTGGGCTTTTGGAAATTTAAAAAACCTTTCAAAACAGCTATCTTTACTATCTCTGGAAGATGCTTCACATGTGGTGGTGCTGGGGTCCCCTCCCACACCTAGTCAATCTCCACAACCAGGACCTTCTTCATCAGAATAAAGTGAGTATCCTAATTGGGATATGTAAATTAAATTTTACCTTCCGGTTAATGTTCCTAATATTGGAAAATATTTCCGAATGTTTATAATTATAATCTGGACCTAAGCTAGCGGAGTATTATGCTCAATGTCACCTCCCTCTCCACCTGCTGATAGGGGAATCAAAGCTAGACGTCGCATTCTGGATTGAACAAAATGCCATTTTTTTCTAAAAAAAGGTTTTCGTGATAAAGTCCAGAATGCGACGTTGACATCCCACCCATCTCCATCCCTCGAGAGTTGACATTTGTTTACTGCTCGCTCTAGGGCAAGAGATGGCGGTAGCAATGCGTGTGATGGAGGGTGCAGGAGGGGGTTTGAGAATTGCAATTAAATGCCGGGTAGCGAAGTGTCCTCGTAATATTACGTATTTAAGTAATTATTAGATGTTTTAATTGCCTCTATGTTGGCCTGGCGTGTTAATGCTAGGGATTTACATATCTAGGTATAAAGCTAGACGTCGCATTCTGGACTTTATCACAAAAACTGTTTTTAGAAAAAAACTACTTTTTTTTATTTTGGCTTAACTGCAAGCATAAATTATTCACAGCTCTCGAGCTTCTCAGCACTATCTGCCATCTTATTAGCAGCCCGTAATAGACTATGCACCAAATACCCATCCGATGCTTTAAAAATAAAGCAAATTTCATCATGATTACCATAAGTGATGCGAGAAACTGAACAACAAGTTGAGGTGCAGTGGGATAAATCTCAGTATAGGTATCAGTCACAAGCATTATACTTCTCAAGCTAACAGACTCTTCTATTTGAAGAACATGTACATTTTAAGAAATGCGGAGTACATACAGGGTACAGTGAGTTCTGCTATAACGCGTGTTTTGATAACGCGAATTTGCTCTAACGCGATTTATGAATTAGGAACGATATTTGTATAACGCGAACGCTTGTTTGCTATAACGCGATTTTTGCTTACTATCTCTCCAATTTTGTAGTATTAACTGTGAATATGGTAAAGAAGAATATCAACAAGAAGCGTTCTGGTGATAGAATTCCCGGTGATGATCGTAAAAGAAAGGATATAACACTTGAAGAGAAGCTCGATTTTATCAACCTCAAAATCACCCTTCTCCCCCATCAAGTTACATTCATATTTTTTCAAGGTAAAGTGTTACATTTACTGTATGATTTCATTATTAGATATGAATGTAACATTTATTTAGACTGTGCTATCCTTTGTGTTAGGCTAACTACTAAATTTTTCCGATTTCGAGTAATCTGCACCTAACCCTATTTTCTCCATAAGCCCTGTTATTTCTATTACGCGATTTTCTGTAACACGATATTTTACAAGAACACAATTATCGCGTTATAGCAGAACTACCTGTATATAGTTTTATCTGAGTGAAGGGACATACAATGTTCACCCATTGACAAGAGCATTTATCTACCCAAGTGTGACCTCATTTAGTCTCATGTAACTGTAGCTTTGCCTGACGACCATAAGATTGCATTTTTGGAAAAGAACACCTTAACTTGCCTCTTGAACAACACCATAATATTAATGAAACTACTCCATTTTGGTGATGCAGTCAAGATGCTACACATAGACTGTACTGAGCCAGTCACATTCTGAACAGCCCTAATGCTGCACTAATGGTAATGGGCCAGTGAAATTCACATCATAACCTTTTAAACAACTTCTTCAAATACATACTGGAGAATATGACAATGTGAAGCTTTACTTTCTTTATAATGTATTGATCAAAGAAGAGATGCAGAAATATGTTTGGAAATATTACGTCATATGGATGGTGCTAACAGAGGTGAGTTGGTATATGATATTACTGACATCTTCAGTTATGCTTTGCTTTTCATTTAATTGAAAAAACATTTGCTATGGAAATGAGCTTTTCAGTTTCCTTATCTAAATATTTATGTAATTAAATACCTCTTCTGCTTTGTTAATATCTGTTATTTAGAGATATTATTTTATTTACAACGGTATTATTATTATTTTTAACATTAACTTATGCAGCTTTTGGCTAATACAGTATATTAATGCTATATTGATTGATCTTGTCAGAATGACAGTATGTACAATTTTGGACATTACATCTTATGCATAATAGTACTATACTGTACTTGAGCTATATTAATTATTTAATGTAACAGATTCTCTTCTGGATTTTATTTTGATTTTTTATATCTGTTGCATCTGCTGTAAGCTAATCATAATTTTATATCTCCATCTCATTTTCTCTCTCGATAAAGCTGATTTCCAATCAGTGCTTTGCATGTTAACCAGCCACAACTTCTCCGTTTGCACAGTGAAGCGGTCAAGAACTCGCGACCGGAACCTCATAAATGAACTGGAAGCTCTTCAGATGGTGCAGGAACTCCACGTTGACTAGTCCTTCTTCATCGACTCTCTCTTTACCTCTTTATTTCCTTGTAAGCTAGTTTGTGGTGAAAATCCCTTTAATCCCTTTACCTTACAGTGTGATAGCATCAGTTTGTAGAAAATCTATTTGCCAGTTATATTTAGAAACTATGGGTTTGACAAGTCCTCGTGTTCCTCCTCCCCAAACAGTTACTAATAATAGTACAGTATCTAAATTTGCATAGTTGAATTATTAGTTACAGAACTTCACATAACTATGTTGTTGGTGAAATATCAGAGCGAATTTTGAAACTATCATAAAAGTGCATAAAAAGAAAAATTTTTGACCATGTGCAGACTGTGATTTTGAGACTTCATTAACTGAATGAGTATCTGAAAGGATTTATTAAAAAAAATTAAAAATGTTTTTCATTGTTACAGTCACTTTCTACCGTCTGATGATGACTAAATTAGGCACTATATATGGTACTACAGGTTAAGTTGCTAGCTTCTTGAACCTGATGGTTACAGTGAATAGTGAATTTGAAATATTAACGAATTTTACTAGTAATGATTATAAAAGTTTGATGTCACAAATAGT